GAGAGAGAGAGAGAGAGAGAGAGAGAGAGAGATAGAGACAGACAGACAGACAGACAGACAGACAGACAGACAGAGAGGAGAGAGAGAGAGAAGAACGAAGAGAGGGGGAAAGAGAGACGAGGAGAGAGAGAGGAGGGGGGAGGGGAGGAAGGAGGCTGGATATGATCGAAAGAGAAAGGCTTTTTAACAGGCGTTTTGTTTGTTTGATTGCTGTTGTTGTTAGGGTTTGTTGGGTTTTTGTTTTTGTTTTGTTGTTTTTAGGGGGGATAAAAATAAGAGATGTAAAGTAACATAAAAACGCTAAACAAGCTGTTTCTGTACAAAAGTTTGAATCAAGATACGCTGATGCCACTGATGATTTGTTTGATTAAAGGACAGGCAAAGAAATACAGGAGGCTCTCGTGCTCGAGAAGTTGCGGTGTTCGCCTCTCATTCAATAGGTAACGCGTTTGAATTCGGACAGCGACGGGAATTTTTTCTTCTAAAGATTTTTTTTCCGTTCACTTCTTTTCCTGCTCTTCTAACGATGTTCTGTCGTCTGCTTTCGTCTCCACTTTCGCCAATCCCCCTGCCCCATTTCACATCCTCTGCCCTCCTGACTCTTTCTACAGCCTTTCTACTGTTACTCCTTGGCTCCATCTTACTGCTGTCTTTCAGCCTCACCCCTCATCTTATTGTAGGTAAAATCTACACCTAGCCTTCTCAGATAAGGGCAAAGAATCTCGGAGGTCTCGTGTGCTTGTTATGTACATTGTATATTAAAGATCCCTTAATGGTCCAAAATCGATAAAAGCAGGCTTGGGCTGCCACCAGGGCAAATTTTGACAAATTCCTTCCAATTGAAAATTTTTAATGGGTCTCGCGCTCTCATATGACCTTATGCAGTTGTAAGGGCCGTAAAACACTTTCCAAAAAAAACAAAACAACAACAACAAAAAGACCAAAACAAAAACAAAAGAACAACAAACAAAAAAAAAGAAGAAGAAAAAAGAAAGGCGTCTCAGGCCGGTGTGTCTGTGGTATAGCGGTTTGGTGCTTCATCATCGCACGAACATGACCCAAGTTCGATTCCCACTAGGGGAAAATGTTCTTTTATCGAGTGTCTCGGTCTTTCTGCTGGAACGTTGTAGGCGTTAATATATTATCCCTTTCAGTCTGGGTTGACCCTGACAGACAGGAAAGGTGGAAGACCAACTCTTGAATGATCTATATTGTGTGGATGGGACGTTAAAAAACATATTATGCATTTAACCCTATCCGTACGTCGTGTTTTACTATCGTATCCATACGACATGGGGAACTCTGTGCCACCACTTTCCAAACGTCTGCAGTTAACCCTATCCGTACGTCGTGTTTTACTATCGTATCCATACGACGTGGGGAACTCTGTGCCACCACTTTCCAAACATCTGCATTTAACCCTATCCGTACGTCGTGTTTTACGATCGTATCCATACGACGTGGGGAACTCTGTGCCACCACTTTCCAAAGAGAAAATGTACTCGTTAATCCGATCCGTACGCTTTGCCTAGCAGTCTGTCAAAATGATTTTTTGAGAAATACTGAAAGTTTCAAAGAGATCTTCGCACTAGAAGTATTGTAAAATGTGAAGAATACAACCCCTGGGGTACAAAAATGACCCCAGGGCGTACGGATAGGGTTAATTAACCTTTTCAAACACCCAGCAGTTGCATTGACAGTAAATACATCAGTCTAGCATTTGGCTTCTAATTTGTATATTTATATATCTTTATCGTTCAACTGGTTTTTAAGTCCAATATTTTGCTGCAATAATTATAGATGTCATTCAAATTCGAATAGGTTTTTTTCAAGTCCGGCATTTAGCTGCGACGGTTATAGCTGATACATCATTCAAATAATTTTTGCCGTCTCGCCCGACATTTGGACTGACATAAATAATTTTGGGTAGACCTCATTATTATAGCGCCGCCATATAGATTTTTAGGATTGACGAGTATATTTGACGGTTTTAGAGCTGCTATATGATTATGTGGCAGGCTGGCATCACTCATTTGTACTTCTCGGCTATTCGTGCAAGAATAGTTCCGCCCCCTGCACTTTCCAGCCATTCCGGAGACACGATTATTTATTTATTGTTCTTTGCCGGGAGCTGGAATCACAGGCTAATGTGATCGATCATATTGAACTAATGAGTTGGGACGGGCGCGAGCGTGTGTGTGTGTGGGGTG